GCTTAGGGTTTCGCTCCACTCACACAACATTGCAACTGGCGTCTTTTTTTTTTTTTTTTTTTTTTTTTTTGGGGGGGGGGGGGGGGGGGACGCCCTTTTTTTTTGTTGGAACCACTTTCTCGATTTTTATGCGTCTGCTCCTTCATGATCTTATCTGGGCATCATCAGTCTGATTGGACCTGCCTGACTTTGATGAATGATGTGGCGTCTTTGCAGGTCATTGATTTGCTCAATGTATCTCCAGAGCTCGCATGGGCTGCAGACGATTGGAAGGAATGGTCAACCCCCCCCCTCCCCCACGTCCTTTTTCATCACCACCCCCCACATAATTCTTTTTCGTTTTGTTTTTTTTTTTTTTTTTTTTTTTTTGCTGAGACCTTCCCTGGTCCTTGCATGCATTATGTGTGCACGAGCGGAATATCGTTTCCTTAGCAGTTTGGGGCAGAGACGGAGGTTCGTGCACGGAGTCAGGCTGATTGATGATGTTAGTCTGATCGTCGCAACTGGGAAACTAGTCCCTCAGGAAGTTGAACTAATTTTTTCGGAGTTTTCAAAGTGCTATCCCGATAACCTCACCCTCAAGAGAACAGATGATGGATCGGGTAGATGGGACTTCTTGGGGTGCGGATCAATGAACATTATCCGTTTTTGGACTGTGTGTACAAGTGTCTAAGAACGAAGAATCAATATGGCATGGCGAGCGTTTGTCCTTCTTCAATGGCCAGTCGTACCTATCATGGGGCAGCAAGACACAGAAAAGTGCTGTTTGGGCCAGTCATTTGCATCGCATCGACCGTAATACTTCAGCGAGGCATGAGATTCCGAGACGTGTGATCTCATTGAAACGAGAATCTCGCCTGAGGGATGCCCCAAACAATTTTTTTCTGCGCATCTTAAAACGCTTTGCGCATGGTAAGGACGCGTACTGGAAGCTTGTGGTGGACTTGGTAAGTAAGTAGTGGTGACAGGGTTCCATTGCAGTGGAATTGGTATGAAAGTAGTGTTAATACTGTTTTATTAGGATATAGCTTTGGCCCCCTGGAGTCCGGGCCTGTTTGTTTTGTTTTGTGTGGTTTTGGCTCAGTGCGGTACGTTCCTGGCCCTTTTTGAGCCCAGGCTCGACGATTTGTGTGGATTTGCTTTGGCTCAGGTCGACGGACGCTACTTTTTTGGTCGGGACCTTTGATTTTTTTTGTGTGTGGCTACTACTACTTCTTTGGTCGGGACCTTTGATTTTTGTGTGTGGCTACTACGGACTCGAACCAGTTGCTACGAGAGGGTCACTACCACCAGTCGGCAGTAGTCAGGAGTCAGACCCGACCTGGAATAACGCCAGGGAGCGCGTAGTACTTAAGCAATGATTGTTTTCGTAGAAGTCCTCTTTCGGTCGGTGGTCTTTCTCGGCATATGTCGGGAGACTGCTTGTTAGGTGGAACGAATGGTGGATCTTGGGAGTTGTGGGAAGTTTGATTGTTGACCGACTGTACTCTACTTCTCAAATACTCTACTTCTCAATCATGTGCGTGACTACGTGTGGCGTGTATTATGATGTATGCTAATCAATGATTGAGTTGCTCAATTGATTTCCGGTAAGATATATGTCATCTTTCATAGACCTTTCATAGACCACCCGGGACCCGGGCGGCCCGGCTGGTAGCCTAGCTTCTTACCTTTTTTTTCACTTTTTCTGACTCTTTCTTTTAGTCTTCTTACCTTTTTCTCACTTTTTCTGTTTTTAGTCTTCTTACCTTTTTTTCACTTTTCCTGACTCTTTCTTTTAGTCTTCTTACCTTTTTTGCACTTTTTCTGACTTTTTCTTTTAGTTTTCTTACCTTTTTTTCACTTTTCCCGACTCGTTTTTTTTTCACCTTCTTGTTCCTAGTTCTCCGCTCTTTTTTCTTTCTGCTTTCCTTTTCTCCTTGCCTACCTCCAAAAAAAAAGCAGGGACGACGGCCTTGAGATATTGTCGTTGAGCTGACCAGCCGCACGGAATTCAGAAGTTTTGGTTTCATTCATCTTGTTAGTTCCATCATCTGGTCTAGAACTTGGGTCTGTACAGACTCCAACAGTTCATGGGCGTACCAACTGAGCTAGGCTCGTTGGTTCCCCTTGCGTTTGCCTTCTTTTTCCCTTCTTTTCCTATTCCTCACTACCTTTGACCTTCTTTTTTTTTTTTTTTTTAAAGAAAAAAACAACTCTTTAGTTAAACTTTTTATTTTTTTTTCTTACCAAAAAAAAGCAACTCTTTATTATTATGATGTTGGGAAAATTTTAACCTTCATTGCTTTTTTCTTTTTTTAATTTAACTGCGCTATATTCTTCTCTCAAATCTTTCATCATCTTTCAAAAAAATTCTTTCAATTCACCTTCACTACCAGGTACCTACCACTACTCCAATATCAGTGCTGCGCTTTTTCCTCCCAACTCTTTTTCCTTTCCGGCTCTGCGTTTCTTGCTTCATACATCCTTCTAATATCCACGTCCCCGACCTGGACACGCCGGCCGGAGGGCGGGCGGGCGGGCGGGCGGGCGGGCGGGCGGGCGGGCGAGCTGGACAGGGAGAGAGGACGGGACGGGCAACTGGGCAAGCAGTGCCTACCGCCCGGTAGTCATGACTCTCCACCGACGTCCGTACGAATCGTTCAGGGAGAGTGTCCTTACCTTGCCGTACACCGTACCGTTCGTTCGTACGATTTCGAGTTTCACCGTACCGTTCGTTCGTACGATTTCAAGCTTCGAGTTCGACAGAGGCACACACACACACACACACACACACACACACACACACATACGCAGAAATACACAAACACAACCTCCTGATGAGTCGGTGAAAGTCCGACGAAACAGTCTCTTCGGCACAGTCATGCTTTTTCCTGTGCAGTTGTGTACAGCGAAGACGGTAACACACACACACACACACACACACACACACACACACACACACACACACACATAGACACAGATAGACACAGTGTGACTTACCCGCAGATGGCGTGACCTACTTCGTGGTAGGCGACGAGGCTCTTGCTTTTGCCATCCGTCATTCTGGTGCCCTCCATTCCCGCCACAATTCTATCGACCGAGTCGTCGATTTCCTGCAGGCTGATGCTGGTCTTCCCCCTCCTTCCCGCCAAAATCGCCGCCTCGTTCAGCAGATTTGCCAGGTCAGCGCCGCTGAATCCCGGCGTTCGCGCGGCAATCGTGTCCAGGTTGACATCCGCCCCCAATCTCTTGTTGGATGCGTGCACCTTCAAGATGTCCGTCCGTCCCTTGATGTCAGGAACATCAACGGTCACTTGTCGATCGAATCGCCCCGGTCGAAGAAGTGCGGCATCCAAGATATCCGCTCTGTTGGTCGCCGCGATCACTATGATCCCGGTGTTCCCCTCAAAGCCGTCCATTTCCGTCAGCAACTGATTAAGAGTCTGCTCTCTCTCATCGTTCCCCCCGCCAATTCCAGTTCCGCGCTGTCTTCCGACGGCATCAATCTCATCAACGAAGACAATACAGGGAGCATTCTCTTTGGCTTTCTTGAACAGATCTCTGACGCGCGAAGCACCCACTCCCACGAACATCTCCACAAACTCCGAGCCAGAGATGGAGAAGAAGGGCACTCCCGCCTCGCCGGCTATGGCTTTGGCCAGCAGCGTCTTTCCGGTTCCCGGCGGGCCAACAAGGAGCACACCCTTGGGGATTCGCGCGCCGACGGCAGTGAACTTCTCCGGTCTCTTCAAGAACTCCACCACCTCCATGAAATCTTGCTTGGCTTCGTCTACGCCTGCCACGTCATCGAAAGTGACGCCAGTGTTCGGCTCCATCTGGAACTTAGCCTTGGATTTACCGAAGTTCAGCGGATTGCCGGGTCCGCCGGGACCGCCGAGCCCACCCCCCGAGCGGCGGGAGAGGATGAATAACCCGCCAACGAGCAAGAGCGGGAACGCGAGGTTGCCAATGAGGTTAAGGAAGACAGCGCCGCTGTCTTCCTGGGGGTTGTGCGCGGCAAAGTCGACGTTTTTCTCGCGGAACTTCTGCAGCAGTTCCTGACTGAGTCCTGGGAGCTGAACCCTCACTCTCTGCACTCTGTTGCCTAGCTCAGGGCTCACTGCTTCGACGATAGCGATGGAGCCGTTCTCGTAGAGGTCCACCTTCTTCACGCGGTCCATGTCTAAGTACTCCAAGAAGCGGGAGTAGGACATGCGGGAGGAAGCGACGGCCGGCTGCTCCTCCGCGGCGAGAGCGGGCGAGGATCGCGACAAAAGGGCGGGAAGTCCCACCATTCCCGCCGCCTTCACAGCGCGCCGAAGAAAGGCCCGGCGGTTGTTGTTCGCTGCCGCGCCGCTATCCCCATCTTCCCCCTCCTCTGCGCGCGCCGCCACAGTGCGCCCACTACTGCTAGTGCTACTGCTATTGCTATTGCCACAGACACAACGGCCCCCTCGTCGAGCTACCTCAACTAATCCTTCTTGAAGACGATATCGAGCATGGAGGAGGGATAGCTTCTTCCCGCTGTCGCCGAAAAACGCCGATGCGTAAAGCGCATGATCCTGGCTATGGGGGCTCTTCCTGGCCGTTCCGGATTTGGCACTCGTAGTCGACAGTCCACGGACTCCGCCAGCTAAGGCGGCGTGAGTCGCCGCGAGAGAAGAGGACGAGGCTGACGTGGCCGCCGCCGCCATAGCTACTCCCTCCCTCCCTCCCTCCCTCCCGCCCTCCCGCCCTGCCTTCCTTTCCCGCTGCCTTTCTTTTCCTTCGCCGAGTCAGCCAGGTGGTTTCTTGTCGCCCCGCCCGCCGCTTTGAACTTTCAAGTGTCCCCTTGAGAGGAGGAGTCGGCGCTTTGGGACTCGCTCCACCGCGCACCGAACTCGATTTCCCTGCCCGCAACCCGGAGCGGAGCGGGGGAATGTCTGCCGTGGCGCGCTGCCCGCGGTCGCTCACAGCAGCCCGCCGTATGCCCACCGTTACCTCTTGCTACCTCGGCGGGAATGCAACAACAGCGAGAGAGGGGCGGGAGTGCAGCGGAGTGCAAAGCTACGCGAGCGAGCGATGGCGGCAGGAGAGTCTGGGCCTCTCTGCATCGGGCCGCCCACGTCACACTGGTCGCCTCCTCCCCTTCCCCGCCACACAGAAGACGACAAAATAGTGGATTCTCTACCGCGGCCCAGAAGATAACAAGCGGGGTCTTCTGAGATTCCTAGACTTGTTGAGGGTCGGATTTTGGGCTTCCCTGGCTCCCACCGACCAACCCCCGCACACCCGTCTCTTCGCGAACTGGGGCAGGGGCATGAATGACGCTGACCCCCCAACCCCTATGCCTACCGTGGTCTGTATAAGCTTGCTGCTGACTGCTGCCGCACACTCTGCTGATCGATAGCCTCTGCGGGTACGGGAGCCAGGAGGGCCGACTGCCGGTGCTAAGCAGCGCACGAATCTCGCCATTTTTGCGACCAGATTCCAGATTCGTGCTCACTTAGCACGGACACAGCACCTCCTGGAGAGTGTGACCTGCCACTTCCAATCATCCTGTCGACGTTGCATCATCTTGATCGTCGTGCTGAGGACGGAAATAGCACCCACCTATACCAAGACTCGCTTTTTGTTTTCCCCGGAAAAAGAGGGGCGCTCCACTACTCCACATTTGTTTTGTCATGTTTGTGGAGCTCATGGCAGTCCATATACATTCGGACTCACGCAACAATAGAAGTATCAGGACCACTTTGACGTCCATATGCGTGGAGAAGGTGCGGAGTTGAGCGAGGCCCATTATCACCTCAGCCAAGCGTTATCTCGGCACTGGTCGAGCTCCTCTGGGCGTGCCAGGTTGGACTACCATACCACGTACCCTGTCCCCTCGAACAGAGCGCCTCCCTGTTCAGGCGTGCGTTACGTTGGAGGGAGGACGATTGGGAGGAGGGGGGAGAGAGGGGGGCGCTCAGCCCCGGGCTGTGCTTGCGTCCCCCACCACATAGAGGGAAGGGTAAATGAGAGGGGTGCTGCCCTCCGCGTCGGCCTTTCTGTGTGGGCCACGCGCTCTTCACTTTCTCCCCTCCGTTCCGCCAACGATTCTCCCCTCCGTTCCGCCCGCCAACGATCATTCCGCGCAATGGAATCCTACGCTCCTCGCCCCCACACCTTTCCATAGGAGAAAAATCACCGCACTTGTTTTTTCAAAATTTGAAATTTGCGTTTCGGGCAAGGCGATCCTTTATTGGTTTTTTCGGAAAGATGGTACGGTTATTCCTCTCTATTCACATCTTTTCGGGGCATTTTGGCAAACATCTCAACTGATGGGGCAATTTGGCAAAGTATCCCAAACTTGTATCGTTTATTACAAGAAGACAAGAAGAAAATGGAGTGGGATAGGGAGTGCGCTACCGTCTTCCCCCGAACACAACGCACCCTCATTTTGGCTGTATCTGGCCGGAAATATAGCTTGTATACATTCATTTTAAGGGTGCGTTATGTTGGGGGGAAGACGGTAGGAGTATTGACGTGAGGATGGGATGGGAGGCGGTCTCATATTCCAGGACACCCACGGCCTACTGCTCCAGGTGATCACGGTGTACTCAATGACTGGCCTCTACAACACCATGGACTTCAAAAAAAAGAAAAAAAAGAAAAAAAAGAAAAAAAAGAAAAAAAAGAAAAAAAAAAGGAGGAGTTTGAGGCCGGAGCTATTCGGACCATAAGCTAAGCTGTGTTGGGCTCGTGCTATGTCCCACTAGAGGGGGTTTAGTTTATGTTTGGTGTATTCTTCTTCAACACGGTCACACTGCGGCCAGTGACCGCCGTGAGTTCTCAGATCCGATGGCAGGGAGCCATGTATACTCGAAACCAGAACTAAACCTCGACAAAGTGGGACATGGCCCCGGGTTTAAAAAAAAAAATAATAATAATAATAATAATAATAATAATAATAATCAACTCCGCAAATATAGTAGCTTACAACTCAAAATCGTGCGTTCACAGCATCCCACTACTTCCCCAAAACAAAGCTTTTCTAGACGATGGAGGCCCTGAAGTCTTGTCTAGACCATGGCGCACTTCAGTTTTTGAAATTTTTTTATACCTTGAAGCTCTCTGACCAGAACTTACCTGCTTTGCAATAACAAGAAAACCTAGCAGAGTTCCATGACCAGGCAAGTGCAGATAAGAGCAGCCAAGTCACTTCAATGGACTATCCTTGACATTTCTGAAAGGGCGATCCTTGACATGTCCGAAAGGGCATATTCACTCCCAGTGAACCTTTGCTGACGGAATCCAACCGTAGCTCAGCGTGTTACATCCAGGATATGCCCAGAAACCTCCTCGTGGTGGACTTTCCCGGATGTTTCAGACCACAATTTGCGCCCAGAGTGGAGCGGTCGGACAAGGTGTACAGTATGATGACTGTCTCTTATACACATCTAGATGTGTATACCCTCTCCCTCCTCTCCTTCACCCCCTGTCATTCATCATCCTGGTTTGTCCCTTAGCCCTCCTATNCGGTCGGACAAGGTGTACAGTATGATGAAACACCCTATATCAGTTACTACAACCAGTGGTGACTCGCCCCCCCCCCCCCCCCAAAAAAAAAAAAACGGCCCCGGCCGGTCCGGTCCGGGTCCGTCCGGTCCAGGCGGAGGGTGCCGCATGCGGCAAAGCGGACCGGACCGGACGCTCGTCCGGGCCGTCCGCTTGCAGGTATGGTTCTGACCATAGATTATGAAAATCAATGGCCAGGAACAAAGAACCCACGGACAGATGGAGGCCTTGCCTCCAGTACCTTCCTTTCTTCTTCTCACACGGTACAGGGGAAAAAAGGAAGAAAAACTTGGGCTGAGATTCCACTAAGGTAGTCATGGATGCTCACCGTAGATAATGAAGATCAAAGTTCAAAATTTTCAAGTCAGCCTTGCACCAAGACCGATGAATTTAGAGGTAATTCTAGTCAGGTACATCCAGGGAACACCATGTTCAGTATGCCATCCTGCTCTTTCTGTGTTATGTGTGAGCATGTGTGTGTGTGTGTGTGTGTGTGTGTGTGTGTGTGTGTGTGTGTGTGTGTAAGTTTCCATGGAAGTACCCAAAAAAAAAAGAAACAAGAGGAAGAAGAGAAAATATTGTATACAATTGCGTATATAATTGTTTGTTTGTTTCTTTCTTTCTTTATTTCTTTCTTTGTTTCTTTGTTTCTTTCTTTGTTTGTTTCTTTTGTTAGCTAGGCCACACTGACACACATGTCTCAAGAAGCACCTGTAAAATAAAATAGGAGTAACTTCAGTAGAGTCACAAAAACGAGTTATAATTGCACTATGGGCCACTGTTCAGTTTGCAATTGCACTTTGGGCACCCTACCTGGCCAGAAAGCTAGGTTGTATACATTGCCCGAACTGCAATTCGAAACTGTATTTTGGCTCATAGTGCAATTATAACTCGTTCTTGTGACTCCCGCGTAGTTTCCGCCATAGAGTAACAAACATTGAAAGTGACAAAATTGATACACAAAAGATTTGCACGGCGCTACCCAGCCCATGTGGCTGAACTGTATACACATGTACCTGTTAGTACGCAGATCGTGTGTTGAAAACCCACAAGTGTTAGCTGCTAATCCCCTTGAGAAAAGATGAAAAAGAACCAAAAAAGATTTGCAGGCACTCACACAGAGTAGAGGGTGTGCGGACAAGTCCAGAGCGAGAAAAGAGAAAGATTTGCACAGCCCTCCCGCAGTGGCAAGTACGAATCTGGAGTGAAAAAGAAAGAAAGAAACAACATATGTGTGTGTGTGTGTGTGTGTGTGTGTGTGTGTGTGTGTGTGTGTGTGAGAGAGAGAGAGAGAGAGAGAGAGAGAGAGAGAGAGAGAGAGAGAGAGAGAGAGAGAGGAGGACAGCAGCCCAACATCAACGCAAGGTTAGAGGAATCTTCTGGATGCGACTGGTTGTGTGCCACATCAACAACGATCCAAGCGAGCAAAATGTACTACGTGGCAACCGGAATGTCGTGAAAGCGTAATTTTTGGCCAATCAAGACCCTCCAATCCCAACTCGCCTACGTAGGTCCCACTCCGAGAGGACCAGACAGATTTGGGCGTACTGGCAATACCGGCAGTGCACTTGCGACCGAATCGGGTCATTTTAGCGGTGAGACAAATCCTCACGTGAGAATGCCCCTGAGTCAAACGAATGTGCGGCCCCAGATTACAAAAAGTGTTGTTTTTTTTTCCCTTTGAAAAAGATCCTCAGTCATCTCTATCACTCCTCACTCTTCCTTTTCCAAATGGACAGCCTTTAGATATCCTTGCGGAAATGACCGGCCCAATTCGTCTAATTCATCTGGATTTGAACTCAGGTCTGTATTTGAACTGTGCCTGGGTGTACCAAGCTAGGCCTGTTGGTGGATTGCAAAACCTTGATTGAAAAGCTGCCAGTGCTTTTTTTTTTTTTTTCCTATTCGTGGGGAGCAGCACATGCTGGGAACCGGGCCCAGCGTCCCATATCAAATTGTACAGATCATTGAGAACATTTGAGAACATTTGAGATCATTTGAGATACCGGGGCCATTACCCGGCTTCGACTGAGATCAGTCTTTCTTTTTTTTTCTTTTTTTTTTTTCAGTCTGTGAATATCTAATGACCTAATAAGGAACTACACATGCAATAGGCTGCCACAGAGGTCCTGTGAAAGCTCACAACCCTCAGGATCCCTAACAAGCCCTTCTAAGACTTTCCAACACAGTCTTACTCCCTTCTGAGCTCTTCCAGGCCTCACGCCCCCAACCTGCTAGGTTACAGGGCAACACAACTCGCTCCAGCTCCGACCAGCGTCGTCCCAGCAGCAAGCCTTGGCTGTCCCTTGGGATGCCCACCCCAAAGCATCCCCAGATCTCTCTACCAGGCCTCACGCTCCTGCATCAGCAGGTTACAGGGCATCACCCCAGCACCGGCCAGCGTCGTTCTGGCATCGAACAGCCGCAGATCACTGAGTATAACTGCTTCAGACCGCCTGCCAGTGTATTGACTTCTGCCTGAAGAGCAGGCCCTATTGCAACGTCTGCCCTACGGTGTCTGCAAGAACCTGGTCAGTTCCGGGACCAAATTCGCACCCTTTCCCACAGATAAAAGCATCAGTGGGCTCGGCCCTATGCGCAACGACAAACATTGCCTGTGGTGCAACCTCACTCTTGATGTATGTGGGTGTGTTAGGGCAGGAGGGTAGCCCCTCAGGTCATCTGTTCTCCTCTAATTGCAGGATTCAAACTCAAGCAATAGATGGCGCTCTCTACTCAGGTCGGGGCCGGGAATGCTAGTGTTACGCATCTGCAGCAGCATAATGGAGAGCACGCGGACAGATTAGGGGCGCAGCTCTTTGGGAAAGCGATGGAGATGGTGGGGGAGCTGCAACATGAAGATATTCTTTTCTACACAGATGATGGAGTCTCGTATGCGTACGTTGGACGACAAGGACGTGGTCAGTTCCTATGATAACCTTGCCGCAGGGTGTGTGTATTGGGGAGTATATAGTCAGAGGGGCTGTGAAGGGGATGTGACGGACAACGTTGAACATGAGGTGAGGGCTGGGGAATGGTGGACGAACCTGATGGCGGTCTCTTCTCAGGTCGTCGTCGGGAATACTGACGTCGACAGTGTCACTCGTCCGCGGCAGCTTAATGGAGACCAGACGAGTGAGGGGGAGGGGGCGCAGGGGCTCTTGGAAGAGGTGGTAGTTCTGGCGGAAGAGAGGCAGAGAATGGGCGAGATTGGAGAGAGGGGTTGGCAGGTGGACAACAACAACAACAACAACAACCACAACAACAACAACAACAACGATGAGCTGGGATTGGGCAAAATTGGCGACGAGGGCGTGAATGGCAACAACAACAACAACAACAACGACAACAACAAGAACGGTGAGCTGGGATTGGGTGAAATTGGCGACGAGGGCGAGAAGGGTGATGAACATGAGGGGAGGGCCATCCAATGGTGGGGGAACTTGATGGCGCTCTCTCCTCAGGTCGGCGCCGGGAATGCTGACGTCAACGGTGTTACGCATCTGCAGCAGCGTAATGGAGAGCACGCGGGTGAGTGGGAGGTGGTGCTGGGCTTCATGGCAGAGGTGGTGCTTGTGNACGTCAACGGTGTTACGCATCTGCAGCAGCGTAATGGAGAGCACGCGGGTGAGTGGGAGGTGGTGCTGGGCTTCATGGCAGAGGTGGTGCTTGTGGTGGAGGAGAGGCAAGGAATCGGTGAGATCGGAGAGAAGGGTTGGAAGGTGGACAACAACAACAACAACAACGGTGAGCTTGGATCGGTCTAAACTGGTGCAGCGGGCCTTCATCTGCCCTGGCCTACAGCCAGGGCCTATTTGGCTATTTGCCAGTTCGGCCTGTGGAACCAGGCCGTGGCCTGACCCCACAGGCCGTATATTGTTTCAGTCCAGTCCAGTCCCGCCCGGTACCACGGTCGGTACCAGGCCAGTCCAGTCCAGTCCAGTCAGTCCGCTGGGGGTATACCCCAGCTGCAGTCTGTTTTTCGGTACTCTTCACTTTCGCAGATCTTGGAGTACTTGCGTGTGGAGTCTGCGTCGGAGCTGCGCTGTCCCTTCCAGCTCCATCTCTACCTCCTCCTTCGTCTCCATCCTAACGGACCGCCATCCCGGCGGGTCCGGCACACTGGTATCGGAGCGGGAACGGTCCCCGCTCCAACCCGCCCTTCCCCCCGCAGGCAACAGCGGGTGTGGGATAGGTGTAATCCCGACAGCGGGATTTTCAGGGTTTTTTTGGTGGAAAACAGTGCGGACACGTGGCGAAAAGAGAGAGCGTCACCACGCACGCGCCAAGGCCAAGGCCGCCGCACGCGCGCGCCACGTGCCCACGCTGCCTCGCCCCGCCCCGCTCCTGGATATATTACATATCCATAGTCTTGCAATTGCAGCCACCGGGGCTTGAACCCGGGCACTCACTGAGCCATGCGCGCGTGTATACCACTTCACCACAGCGCACGTATGAGCAAGTAGTGGCGTGCGTTGGTGTTGAAGAGGTGGCACGGCAGCT